AGCTTGGCCATGTCCACCAGCAGCTGCAGACTGGCATGTTTTCATCACAGATGATCAAGCGTACGTGCGGTGACATAAACTGGACCTGAACTCCTGTCCTGGTGAATCAGTGAGTGCACTCAAGGAGAAAAGTCTTCTCCCCACTGAATATCCAGTCACTTAGCTATCTTCTGCTTCACATCCCTGCCTCTCTCTCTCTCTCTCTCTCTCTCTCTCTCTCTCTCTGTCTGTCTGTCCCTCTCTCTGTTTGTCTGTGTCTCTCTTTCTCTCTCTCCATCTGTCTGTCTCTCTCTCTCTCCTTTTCTCTGTCTCTAATTTTTACTGTCTTTATTTCTCTTTCTCTCTCTCTCTCTCTCTCTCCATCTCTCTCTCTCTCTCTCTCTCTCTCTCTCTCTGTTGCAAACTTCACTCTATATTTACTCTTGTTTTATTCTCTTTCCTCTATCTATTTATCTATTTGCCTCTGCCATCCTTCTGACTCACCGTGCGCTTTCTCGCCTTTTAAAGGAAGTGGTCAGTTTCTTAGCAGACCATGCTTCTCTGTTGTTTTTTAATCTCTCTTAAGTTTCATTTCATGCTTACATGCCCTGAAGAGATGTGTGCTGTTCAAGGCGCGCCTCTTCTTCAAGACAGAATGAGGAAGAGAGCTATCAGATAAAACTAATGGAAACTGCTTCACTTTTATGAGCGCAAATAAGAGTCCTAGACAGCAGAGGAGGGACGTCTGTGTTTGGCAACCACCTACAGGCAGAGTCTTTACTCTACCATTAAGTGAAGGAGTCATAGAGAAGTTTCCATAGGTTAACCATTTTTGTCATAGTAAACCTGTGCCTCCTACTCATGCAAAACTCATTTCTCTGTGGTAAACCCTTAGGTTTCCCCCTTGCCAAGTACTGATTTCTTATAAATCGTCTCTTTTAGATAAGTATGACAACCTATGGAGCTCAGTCAGAGGAAGAAAGAGGCAGCAGCATGTTCTCTGGTTATCAGTCAGCTTTAGGAGGCAGAGAGAGTAAAATGGTTCAGAGACAAGCCTTGTTTTAGTTTCTGTTTTCACTTATATTGATCGCTGATATGGAAGAATAAACCCTTCAAACATTGGCTTTACAATGCAAGTATCTGCCTGACAACGATGACTGCTTATTAGTGGCTTTCGTGTGGGCAATCAGGCGGGTCAACACCTGCTGACACATAGCACATCAGCAAACCAAGGACTTGGTTCTCACTAGATCCAAAAGTGAAAATATTAGGGCTGTCCCTGCCTAATAAGCTGAAAATGTTGACTAGCACCCCCCAATCCCCCTCCAAAAAAGCTCATAAATTAATAAATAACACAGAAAACGTTGGACTAAAAAAGTGTGTATTTAGATATTTCGAGTTTGGTATCATCTTTATGAATTTTGAAGTGTTCAAAGGGGATTTTTTTGACATATTATTTTTTTCATGTTACATTAATCTTGCTCTTATACCTCTTGATACCCACATATATGCAATATAATAGAACAATGATTATTGAGATTCGCTAACTACATGGACCAAATTTCTTGTAAAAATAAAATACAAGTAAAAACATAAATAAAGACATAAATGCAAAATCTTATTCGACCAAGAATGCAAGCACTTTATCCGAACTTATTCAAGCCCTAGAAATAAAATAAAATATAAAATCACCCCAACATCTCAGTCCTCCAGTCCTATTGCTCAATCACGGGATCATTTATAGCTTCCTCTGAAACAACGCTGTCGCTCAGTCTCTATCGAGCCGTATGAGATATTGGAACTGCACGTTCGAGATGTATAAACACGTTAGCATTCTTCCATTAGATGGTTGATTGTCAGGGAGGCAGTGCTTATGACAGTTGCATGCAGAATGGCCATTAGAACCCTGTAGCAGTGATGTGGTGAATGTCAAAGAAACAAGTCTGAGAGGACTTTACCTACATCTGTTCCACTCTCGTGGATTGAGGGATGCAGGTTAAAGGTCAGTTCAAAGGTCAAAATGCCTGACTTTCTAAATAAAAGAAAACAATCTGAGCTATAAATTTTAGTTTACTGTAAATTACACATTCACTCACATTTAGTCCAAACAAACATATCTAATGTCTCAATTCTCCATCTACTTATTTTATTTTGCTAAATGATGGAAATATAAAGCAAATGACCATCATGTTTTCTCTTAAAAATAAGTTTTTTGCAGCAGTGACAAAAAAGAAGCACTTTCAATGGTTTTCTAAAGAGCAGTCCAGAGCAAACTCACTGTACCTAATAAAAAGCTGTCCAGGTGTGTAGGCCATACAAAATCGATTCTGGTTTTGTGCATGAAACATATGGCTTAATCTATTTAGCCTTTATTTTATCAATATTCACTTTTTTTTACATTAATTTCTGGTTGTTTAAAGAGAGCATTCACAATCTTCCACACAATATAAAAGTTCTACTCTAATCACAGTTCTTTTTTCTAGAATTGTAATAAATAAAACAGGATTATACAACATACACAAAGGTGCCAAAAAGGGTTCTTTGGTGCAATTCCGTTAAAAAGCCATCTTTGGTTTCATGGCAAATGACATTTGTAAGTTTTTTAATTTAAAGAACCTCCACATAATGTGAAAGTTCTATACTAACTAAAGTCATTCCTAGAACCGTATGTCTAAGGCAAGAATCTTTATTTTTAAGAGAGGAGCACAGCTCCCATTCCACATTTAGAATGTATTCAAAACCTAAACTTTTTAATATTTCAATTTTAAATTTCTGTGGAAAAAAAGAGCTTGTAATTTCATGGAATAAAATACAAATTTGACCAGACCAATCTGATTTTCACACCTGGCAGGAGTGTCAGAATGAAGTGGAAGTTTGTGCTTGGGCAGCAGAGCCTACTACAGTACAACTTAATGAATGAGTTGTGGCCACGTGGCACCAGTGATACAGAGACTGCTTATACAATCAGAAACGTCTCTGAAGTGCTTTTGCTAGACTGAAAGTGCTGTAGCCTCGGGCTGAATTGGGTGTAAGATAATGTGCCAAATGTCAAGTGCACTGTTGTCTTATTGTTGAAGCAATTATCTGTGTGTTTATCGCACATGGCGTTCTTGCACCAAACAGGACATGATGCTTCTCTCTCTAATGAGCAAGCCATAGAGTTACTGTAAATGCAACTCATCTCCAAAATGGTAACTTTGCAGGAGAGAAATGTTCTTAACTTTTACAGCAAGTTAATGTAAAGAGGTTTTATTCCAAGCTTTTCTATTGGCCCACTCATCATGAACTGTTCACACAGTGTAAAGGAAACTGCTGTACTTAAATGATACAAAAGCATAAAAGAGTTATCGAGTTTTGCAGCGTGGAAATGCTTTCAAACTGGCTTATTGGTGCTGTCACAAAATCTTGCATTTTCAAAATGGTCACTGTTAACAGAATAAAAAATATCGCTGTTGTCAGAACAAAACCTTGTAATTCCATTTTTCTTGTTTTTCAGGTTTTGACCTAATTTGAAAATACCTGTTACCCTTTACATTTTATCTATATTTCATGATGAATTGACCAAAAGAATTGGCCCAAAATTACTTAGAAAAAAGTCTAGTTCCATTGACTTACATTAAAAGTAAAGTGGGTTTTTTCCTTCTCCTGTAAAGTTATCATTTTGGAGATATGAGGTTTTGTTCTGACAACCCGATATGTTTTTAAGGTGAATGTAAGTTAATGTAAAAAGGAATGTTTTTGTTGGTCCATTCATCATGAAACGTTCATACAATGTAAAGGGCGCTGATGCGTTTAAATGGTGTAAATAAATAAATAAACAAAGAAATAAATGTATAAAGTTTTGATATGACAGTGATATCACATATTAATAGTCACACAAGCGAATCCTTGCTTCAGTTCTTAAACCACTTTTGCTGTGTATGGTGTTTCCTGACCAACAGAAATGCTTGAGATTTTGATATGATAGCAACAATATATAAGCTTAACTAGAGACGGGAAACCCCACTAATCATGATAAATAATTCTTTGTTTAGCCTGACAAGAAGGTACAGCTGTGTGTTGGGCTGGTTGAGATTAAGGGTGTTTCTGTGTATGTGTAATGTGTGATGAACTCTACCCTGCATTCCCTCAATGTATTGCCTGGGGACACACTGACCTCTCTGTTACCTCCTCTCAATGACATCCCCTACCATCAAAATCTGGTCTACTAGTAAAGCTGCAGCAATCAGCTTTATGATTTTCTCCGTACATCTTTTATTAACAGACTTATTAAAAATTCACACGTAGCCCGCACCTCCATTTCTCAGGGACTTAGAACACTACACCCACCCAACACACAGGGACACAGTATGTGGGGATGCTGGGGGGCCTGTAGCGCCCCTAGATTCTGGGATTAACTGCAACTCCTAAAAATAATTATAAATAAATGAATAAATAAATAATGAATAGAAGAACTGAACATTGAAACTATTTTTGTTTGTATTATAGTTTGTATTTTTATTTTGTGTGTGTGTGTATATATATATATATATAGGTTATATATATATATATATATATATATATATATATATATAAGGTTACGGTTAGACATTATATAATGAATCATATCAATATAAATATAGTTGAACATGCACTAGTGATTGTCATTCATTCCAGTCTGGTATTGTTATATATTTATCATAATATACTTGCTGTTGTAAAAAAAAAGTGTATTTATGTAAAGAGATTTGATAAGTTTGATAGCTTGTTTTGGACCATTCCTCTTGTTCCATTCATCATTAAAAGTTTGCACAATGTAGATGGCAGCTGATTTCATGTAAAAAAAAAAAAGGGGGGATAAAATGGAGATTTTGATGTGGTACTGATAATATCACATTTTAGTACAGACACCAGTCCAGCCTTGCTTTGGTCCTTAAACCACTTTTGCTGTCAGTGATGTTTTTTGAAATTCAGAAATACTTGAACATATTGATCTCCTGACGTCTCCTGTGCTTGGCTTCTGTGCTTTTCTCTCTGAGCAGGAGGATGTTCCCTTTTCTCAGCTTTAATATCAGTTCTCTGGATCCGTCTGCTCACTACAACGTGTACGTGGATGTGGTTCTAGCTGACCAGCACCACTGGAGGTACCAGGGTGGCAAGTGGGTGCAGTGTGGCAAAGCAGAAGGCAACATGCCAGGTACTCAGTGATCACACAGACTTGCTTCTGCTCACTATCTTTTTTAAGTTGCTTTTTTATCTGTATCGTGGTTTTCACATTGTGAGTGTCAGTGCGCATTGCAGGAAGAAAAGCCCCAGTTCTCAGTGCTGTGTCTTTTTGTGGCTGTGAGAAGAATATATCAGGTGTCACTGTACACCACAATCAGAGAAACTTGTGCATGAGATCTGCCACTGTGGCTGCGAGCTGCAACAGTGTGCCATGAATGACTGAACAGTAATGATGCATTGCATTTGAGGTGTGCTTATTCCAATCACTGCTCAAGGCCGAGCTCAAATTTTCAAATCTTATCAAGAAAGAAAAGGTCTTAATTATTTTTGACATGAATAACATGTGAACTATGCAGATAAAGTAATGGCTCATCATGGTGCCTGAAAATAAATGTGCCAAAACATCTTTCAATAAATGGTCTTTTAAAGAAGAATCTGTAATTTAAGTATAACTCTGGCACTTTGCATTGTTTTCCATGTAATTACTGTATAATAGGCTGCCACATTAAGCACCATATTAAACATCCTCTGAAACATTATTGGCCCTTTGTGATGTAGATCATCATAAGAGCACTCTCCAAATACCACTTAATACACCAGAAAGTTAGATAAACAGTGAGCTTTATCTACTGGCCTTGTTGCAGAGCATAATACAAAGAAATATTTTGGTACTGTACGTTTAATGTCAGTTAATACACATAATTGACACAGACTGAGAATTTAAGGGGAAAAAAACCTCCAAATGATGTAAACGTTCTATACCAATTAAGGGTTTTCCTGGAACCATCCATCCAACCCAAGAACCATTTAGAAAACCGTGAAATTGTGAAAATAAGACACTGTTGCTTTATGCAAATGGTAAATATTTTTTGTTTCTTTTGCACAGGTAATAGGATGTACATGCACCCTGATTCTCCCAACACTGGAAATCACTGGATGAGGCAAGAAGTCTCATTTGGCAAACTAAAACTCACCAACAACAAGGGCAGCTCCAACAACATGGCACAGGTATCTCTCGCCAAACTTCGCTCGTGCTAAGTTTGTTGGGGCCGTTTATTGGCAGCCTTTGTGGCCTTTGATTAAATAATAACCTTTACAGTTGACATTCTACCAATAGAATAAAGTAATTTCACTAGATACATTTCCTTAAAACAAGTAGGAAATATACAGAAATAGGTTCAATACTCTTTTAATATTCTCAGAACAATCTCGTAATAAGAAATAATAGATATATATTGACTACATTTAAGATGATTGCACTTGCCAAGATATTATTTCTTTGAATGTGAGTGGTTCTGTATGCCTTTTTCCCTACTCTATCTCACTGTGTATTACTTTGCCCCCAACACAGATGATAGTGCTGCAGTCTCTGCATAAGTACCAGCCACGCTTGCACATAGTGGAGGTGAAGGAGGATGGAACGGAAGATCCCTTCCTCAACTCTAAAGCACAAACCTTCATCTTCCCTGAGACGCAGTTCATCGCAGTCACGGCCTACCAGAATGCAGATGTGAGTCACCCCATCCACCCCATCCCCCCATCCTACACATGCTGTGGGTTCTATTCTCTCTCTTAATCACTTTGTACCTACAACACAAACCACTGATGAGATCTGAAATGAGGTGCTTCTACAAAGCATAGGAAGAAACAGTCTGACCAGACTGGATGTTGATGGATGATAATGGCTTTATATCAGTGCACCATGTTTGTTTAAGCCATATGTACAAAAATTGGTCATAGTTTTTAAGTTATATAATTTATCAGCTTATTCTAATGGACAGTGAATTCATCCTTCTCTCTCTTTGTCCTGTCTGCTGCTACTGTATTTTTAGATCACTCAGCTGAAAATAGACCATAACCCCTTTGCGAAAGGTTTCCGGGACAATTATGACACGTAAGTATATCAAAATAAATAAATTAATTAATTGACTAATCCATTGAACGATTACAATATTCAGTTTTTAGATGTTAGGCTTATTATCAAGTTATTATTCAATAGCTATTATGAAACAAGTATGAAAATTATGTAGTTACGTGGAATTCCACTGATTTTTCACAATGTCTGCATAATTCAGAGAAAGTTTTCGACTTCAGTTTCTTTACAATGCTATGTGAGACCAGTGAACCAATGCAAATAGCCATATTACTTGCTATCAAAAATGACCAGTGAATCTACGTATGTCTTCTGAGTTTTTATTTGTAATACTGATAACGGTAAAATAGAAAGTTTTCTAATTTCCGTACAATGCCTTGCATGTACTTCTTCACCATGAAAGTATTTTAAAAATAAATGTTAGGCCAAGATCTTCTCACAACCATTGGAAAACAATGTCTTGGACATCATTTGTTACCATTTCATATAAAAGCTCTGAGGTAGCTTTTAAACAGATTTCTCATTCTTATAACTACCACTGTGAACCATTCTAAATGAGTTTCTCTAGAATGGAGCATTCCACACTAAAACATTCTGAATCACTTTGATTACATCTTTTGTTTAATTATGCAGACAGTTGGAAAAATTGGTGGAATTCCCGTTTGAAACAGCAAGGAATTGAAGTGTGGACCCAAAGTTTGTAAAAACAAAACTGCTCCAAGAGAAACCCCTAATCCTTAAAAAGAATATTGAATTTTTTACAGTCATTCATGTAAACAAGGAACATATCTTCACTGTTGTACCAAAACCTCATCTCCAAAATGGCAACTTTATAAGAGAAGCAAAAAACATACCTATTGCATGCTAATTAAGTCATTCTGGACCATTCCTGTTAGTCATCATGATATGTTTATACAGTTTAAAAGGCAGTTTGCAAATTTCAAAGTTATGAGGTTTTGATGTGACAAATTACAATTGTAATATCTCTTTACAGAAATAAAGCAGAGGTCCAAATGCTATTTCTTTAAGTATTGACAAAGTTCACACCTTGCCTGTGAGATATTTGCAGTTAACACCTCTGTGGGTGTTTTGTCAGTTGAATTTGACATCTGACCTTTGATGTTACCACACAGCCTCTACGCACCGCCTGACTCGGACCGTCTCACGCCCTCCCCCACGGAGGGCCAGCAGCTCATGTCGAGCAGCTGCTACCCTCACCAGCCTTACCTGCCCGAGCAGTATGTGAGCCCACTTCAGCACAGCCGTTTCTACAGCCATGAGCCCGTCAGCATGGCTCACCAGGGCCCCAAAGACCCACCTGCAGGCCCTCACAGCCGCTGGTACCTCCCCGGCCAGCAGGGGGTACCCTCCAACCGCCTGGACTTCAATACGTATGAGGGGGACTATTCGTCCAATAGCCTGTACAAGCCCTTCCCACTGCAGACATCACCCCACCACCCTCTCAGCTATTACTCCGATAACCCTTTCACCTCTGGGCCCGTGTCCAGTGCCAGCCCTGGGACGTGGAGCGCAGGGAGGCCATCACCGCAGTACCTCAACCACCCCCACCCTGCAAAGCCCACCTCTGGCCTCAGCTGGTTTCACCCTGTGTCTTCCCCTTCCGCATCCTCCTCTCCTTCTTCCATCAATTCCCGCCTGCACCCTCCTCCCTCACTCTTGGAGTCCCTGAGGCTTCCACTGCTCCAGGACAAGCCCAAGGAGTCCGGGGACGAACCCTGGATGGAGACGCCATCTGTCAAATCAGTGGACTCAGCCGACTCTGGCCTATTTGAGAGCGGAGAGAATAAGAAAAGACGAGTGTCACCCTACGCCTCCAGCACTGAGAATTCCCCTCCCAACCGTGGAAACGATGCTTGTGAGAAGGACAGCAGCAGCGATGCAGGCTACTATGGTTTCTATGGTCACTGAGAGCCATTGGTCACCACCCAACTTGGTCTGTCTGTTTCCCACCCACTGAGATGCAGTGTCCCCAGTGAAAACGAATTATATTGTTGCTGTCGCTGTGGTAACAAAACCTCATATCTCTGAAATGGCAACTTTGTAGTAGAAGAAAAATTGTACCTCACCTATACTACCTATATTTATTCTAAGCATGAACTGCTGCCTGATAATTAAGATGAAAATTGCTGGCAAAAGCTTAAAATGCAGAATGCTAGTTTATAGCATGGATAAATATGCTGAAGATGGTTTTGGGTGTACTCAAACGTTTTGACTGGTACTACAGATTAATATATGGAGAATATCAAAACTGTCCTGGACAAATCTCATTTTCTGAAAAAGAGAAGTAAAGATTATCTTTTATTTACTAATGTAATGTTTTTCCAAGTAATTTTTGGACCACTTTTATTGTTATGAAATGTTCATGCAAAATAAAGGGCAGCGAGCATTCAAAAAAAAAAAAATAAAAAGTAAAAGAAAATGGAGTTATGAGTTTTTTTGCACTACAGCGACAATATTGTTATACAATAAGTTATAAATATATTCCAAAATATAAATAGACAATATTGTAATATATTTTCAGTATTGCATTTTTGTATGGGACTACCTGAGCGGGGCAGAGCTCCGTGGGTGGCTGAAGGTAGGCTGGGGGGGTGATATCAGAGGCCAGTAAGAGCTCAAACAGGACTCTCCTGTAGCACTGGTGTCCTTTGCTCTTCATTCATATGTTCTGGCTGGCCTTCTCATGTTCTTTGTTGTGTTCCTTCCCTGTGGTAGCTATGTGGATGTTAAGGTCAGCTGCAGGTGCTCTGAAGGTTGCTGTCAAACACGGTGAGAAGCTCAGGAGTCAAGACAATGTGACTGTACTGAAACACTGGCCTAAAGACTGAATTCAAAAGCTGCAGCAGTTTATGATTTAAAGAAGTCCACATACACCTGCTGACACTTCCCCAAAGGACCTGTCCAGTCCCCCACATCACATACACAAACACAAACACACATACATACTTACATGCACAAAACCACACCACATTTTCAAATTTACAGCTTATTATTCAATGCAGAGGTTTGCAATTGCACTTCATTCACATCTTCATTAGTCTAAATGAGGTATAGAAGGCATATAAAGTCATACGCTGTAAGAGCTATTAGGGGAAACAATAGATTTGCCAATGTCTGCCCTGAGATGTCAGCGCTTGTTTCACTCAGCCTGTCTCCTCGCTTCCCATTGACCTTTCACTCTCCCTCTCTGCTAAATCATGCTACTGTAATTTTATGTTCTTGAACATACCTCATTAGATTTCTACCACCATACTGTAAATATTTTTGTAATACATATGGAAGACGATTTCACTTATGTTATGAGCTAGAACATAATTTAAAGGTCTGAACTGATAAATACAGCACTTGGAATTGCCTAAAACAGAGGCCTAAATTTGAGCTCCAAATCAATCCCAAAATGCCTGCATCCCACATAGCTAAAGACCACGATAAATAATCACATTAAAACCCTGGCCACTCAGACAACACACTACAAATCATTAGGTATTGTAGAGAATGGCAGTCACCAGTGAATAGAATTTGGAGTCTTGGGCCTGTATGTGTAAAGCATTTTAGACTATGAAAAAAAGATCAGCCTTTTTTAATTATATCAAAGGGCTCATATAATTGAAAACCACATTTTTCTGCATTTATGTAAAAAAATATTTTTTTGTGGCATGTAACCATTCATAAAGTTTCTAGATGAGCCAGCCATTCACTCCCCAGTGTATACAGTCCATGTATATGGAAACTGAAAACTGACATCACACAAACCAAAGCATTTACATGTGTGTATAAAAGTTTGGAACACCCCAGGTCAAATTACATGTCAAATCACACAAGTTACACTTTTGATATTCTAAAGGGGAAAATAAGTTACACATCCTCTACAGGGAACAAACAGAAATATAGCATTGTTTTGTAAAATTTACTGCACAATTTCTGTTTATTTGCTTAATATATTGGGGAAAGCACACACACACACACACACACACACACATATCTTCTAAGCCACTTATCCTTCTGGGTCGCGAGGGGGGGCTGGAGCCTATCCCAGCAGTCATTGGGTGGAAGGCAGGATACACCCTGGACAGGTCACCAGTCCATCACAGGGCAGACAGACAGACATACACAGTTATTGGGGAAAACAATAAAACATAAATGTAAAATGTGCTATAACATTTGCACTAGCCACATTTTTTTAAACAGAAACTGTGTATTAAAATGTGCAGAAGTGAGTTCTGTGTAGGGGATGTGTTCACTTATTTTCACTTAAAAAATCAACAAAACATGACCTTTGACCAGGGGTGCTCAAATTTTTGCATATAACTGTACATCCACCTGTTCAGTATACAAAAGAAGTTTTCAGCCTAGACTGCTTTTTGAATGAGGCACAATACAGGGCAGCCAACCAGAACAGAGATTGTTTGCATAGTTCGCTTAGCAACAAGAACAGCCTGTTTCATTTTAAGTCATAAAAAGAGGTTATTGGTCATGTGATAAATAATTATCTAGTACATAAAACAAAGGGCTACACGACACCTGCATAAGCCTTTTATGACAACTGACATTAACTTATATACACATTTGTAAAGGCTTGTTCCAGCAAGCATCAGGTGTCATAAAGCTTACTAGGGTGAAATTGCATTGAAAAGCAGCCTTTATGACAACTGATGCTTGGATTTATGTCAGTTGTCATGAAAGGCTTATGTAGGTCTCATGTAACCTTTAGTTAAGCGCTACCCAGAAAATATAACACAATGTAGGATATAGGCCTTTTAATATGACCTGAACATCAAAATTGATCCTTTATCAGCTCTTCTACTCTGAAACGTTTAATAAATCTGACTGTGTTTCATAGAGCGATTCTATCTTTGAGCAGGAGTGATGAAATTGATTGGGCATTGTAGTTCGAGTTCAGCAGCTTTTTGATATAAAACTTATATTAGTTTGACCTCATTTGATCTGTCATTTTAATGTGCACTCAGACGTACTATGCAAAGACAGCGAGACAGAGAGGTCATAAAGGTCAGTAGTAGTAGTGTGTATAGCCATGTAACATTTCTCTGTACCCATTAGAGGCATTTCTGCTGTGTGGAAGCTCTGATGGACGTTTGATTGAACTTTATAAAGGCAAAAAATGAATAAATAACTCCTTTTATGTAAGACGTATTATAGTGTAGGTCAGGTACTATAGTACTTAAACAGAGCCAAGGCCACAACACAGCAATGTCAGTCTGATAAGCCTTAAGAGAACATTTTAACCCAACAGCAGCAAAGTCTGGGGGCTTCTCGCAGCAGGAGGAGAAAGACAACATGCAGACAGACAGGGTGGAAAAACGGACACCTGGCAGGGGCATCATGGTGACTGGACATCATCTTTAGTCAGACAACAGAGCAGCACATAGACGCACTGCCCCCACACCCAGACCTCAATGACAAAGAGGAAGAATAGGCCCTCAGTCTGAGCCTATCAGGGCCTGCAGAGCGCTGAAGGTGAGAATGACCTTCGACAGCTCAGTGGGCGACAGGGTGCCAGTGCAAAAGACCGGAGACAGCAATGAGAATGCTAGTACACTGACTGCGAAGACAAACAGTACAATGCAGCCAAATGAAAGCCATATTGTTTGTCTTTCATGTTCTTCAGTTCGGTACATTCAATTGATGTGAATTACAAAGAGAGGCACAGATGATGTTCAGCTGGGCATAAATACGCACATACATACATAATCACAAACACACAAAGGACTTCAAAAATTCTGTCTTTAGATTCCTTTGAACAAAGTATCAACAACTGAAAACTGCAGCCACCCCCATGATAAGACTGCACCTGTTGTTTGTATATCAATTGTAAAAAAAAAGATAGAAATGCTTAAAATATTACTTTTTATGGATTTTTTTTTTCTGAACCTTCAGTGTGTTTTATAGAGCTTTCCAAGGAATTGTAATGTGTTGAAACACAGCTGATGGAAAAGCTTCGATCTGCCGTCAATGACCAGTGAAAACCAGTGACTTCGGCTTCGGTTATCTTAACGTGGGAGCAGTTTGTGCTAAACCAAATGAAATCTTAGCAATATAATCAAACGGACAATCAAGATGAACTAATTATACAGGGTTATAAACCTGTGGTCAGATCTTCTGCTCAGGACAAATGTGTGCCAATGACTATTCAGCTCCTTGTTAAGTGATGAGAAAAGCGACGGACACGTTGAGAATTAATCATGATTTGAAGTAACATGGATTTGTTTATTCTTTCAAGTCGATTCACTTGGGATTTTAAGTGTTAAAATGCAAACAGTGGATGGCTTTGATCTTAACTGACAGTTACTGTTGGTGAGCCATTTCTAATTTCAAAGTGCAATTAAAAAGAGTGTGGATATTAATTTAAGAGATTTGTCATTAACATTCTTCTTTTGTATTATTCTAGCTTTTGAATCTTTGTTAAAATATTTGGTGCACACTGCACTCCAAGAAGAGGTGTACAATATTGTTAGGAGATGACAATCTACGTTTTAGGTGACCCCTAGTGGACATTTAACTCCTTATTTAGGCCAAACGTGTGAGGAGATCTTCCCTCAAGCCATCCCTTACATCAACAAAATGACTTGCCTCTTAGAAGCTTTTTCAAGGACATAACAAGCCAGCATCAGGCTGTTTTTAGGTTATATTTATATGCTGTTCCACTGGAACTATTTACTCTTAAGTCAAGATGAGGATAAATTCCCACCACTTGTTAAAGCCAAGCATACTACAGCTTGTGCGTTGCAAAAATGCCCCCAAAATAATGCAAATAAATGTACAGACTGTATTGTTTTGTTCTAAATGTAATAAACGCTTAAATATCCAAAAAAAAATAATTGTCAGTCTTTTATTTGTTAAGTAAGTTTATTATATTTGTTATTTATTGTCATTGATTAAGTTTATTCATTGTAAACTTGCTTTGTACATGTATCTGCAAAGCCTAGGAGGAATGTTTTTTTTCTAATCAAACAATTCAAGTGTGAATTGACACTTCACATACAATCTAACACCTGCATTGTGCTGATATTTGCTGCTTATTTGTAATGACAGTTTTCAGTTAATACAATAGTATACATTTACATGGTAAGATATTTGGATTACAGAAATATACACATACAAAAGAAGTTCCTCTCTGAGCAGACTGTGTGGTTCCTGTGTGAGGGACCAGATTAGACTTAATCCTATTAGAGGAAGTCTTCCTGGGTGAGCTATGACTTTGAAAAAGAAAAAGTCCTTACACATGCAAGACAATCTACCATGAAAGTATTTCTGTAAAAAAGCTGTGTGAGAAAGCTACAGATAGTTCCATATTACTCCCCTCTCTTGTTGTGACCGAATACTCGTCCACGTGCATAAACTAATGAAAACCTACTATATTGCTTTGAGAACAGAAAACAAAACATGTACAAAATGTATGCATTTCACCTTATTATTACCCTATCACATAATCCTGATGTATTACTTTTTAGCACTGTCAGTGCTACATACAAGCTAGAGTGAGCACAAAGACCAAGTTTGCTATGCATATAAGATAATAAACACAAAGTGTAATCTCAGATGGCCACAATTGGCCTGTAGTGCTGTAGATGGGCAGGAGAGGACAGCTATCCTCCCCTGCAGAGCAGCGGGGCCTTCTGTACTTGCTTAGACTCCTGGCCACAGGATTCAAAGTCTCTTAAACAACTGTGCCATTTAGGAGTCCCATAATATCAGACTTCTACTCTAAGTTTCTTCTTTAGTGAGACTCAGTTGACCTATATGACACAAATGGTTACTGATCTGTATCAAGAAGAAGAGTTAAGGCTTCAGCTAGTTCAGACCACATCATTAACATCTGGTTGTAGTATGAGGAGAATCTGAGAACTTGGGCAGGAGTTCTTAGGGCTTCTGCTTTACACTAGAAGGCCAAAGTTCTAAGACTGAGGAACATAGAGGAGATAGGGAGGTTAAAACTTTCTCAAGTAACTCCTCCCTCCTATCTAACTTTAGAAATTACATAAGAGGCAGGAGGAGTTTCAGGCATGGTCTTCCTCCCAAATCTCAGTTATTCCATAACATGCATCATAATAGTAGTAGTATAATAATAGTATCATAATATCATAATTTCTCCCCAGCCCCTTGGTACGGCCGTGATGGAAAGAACTTTCCACGGCTTCATGTGTCCAGTTTGTGCTACAGGCACCCACATATTTGAAGGGAGAAGGCAGATATAGATACAAAATGCACTCTTCAATACCAGATGGTCAGTTAAGGATAGAGAAGACAAAGCTTGAGTGCTTCAGCAGTGAGAACAGGGAAAGCTTGGTCTGAGTATGATGCGTATGAGCACTATCCTTGCTCAGCAGCTTCTGGGCAGTTCATCCATGCTCCAGGGTCCATGTCTGTTTTACCAGAATAAAGGAAATCATGCCTCTTTTATTGTCCAAAGAGACTCTCTCTCTCTCTTTGTCTCTCTCTGTTTGTCTGTCTTTGTGCTTCACCACAGTTCCAAGTTTTTGATGTTAGCAAATCCAGGATTCTCTCTGAGATTCCAGTAAGTTCCATTTGTCACCCATACGTCTCTACCAGCAGCATCAATAGATTTCCTGCATCAGATGAAAGAGAGAGAACACTCATTGGCATTTCAGTTTAGACTTTTTATCGAAAAATTAAGCAACGTGAGAAGTCGCCTAACCTGAAGAAGCGGGGGATATGCTCCTCCCCTCTCTTGGAAAGAATTTTTCTCCGCTCTCTTTGTTTTTCTTCCACTTCATCTTTCTTCTTGTCTGCTTCGTCCACCCTGCCTTCCTCCAGCATCCTAACCACAAAGATAAAGCATGAAGTTCAAATATGAGCAGCATAAACAGCAGTGCCCTCCACAACTAAGAGTGTCTAGGTGCTAAAAGAAATCTGTCAAGGTAGAAGGTAGAAAAGTTTCAACATCATACTTTGGCCTTCAGAGTGACCATAGTTTGACAGTCTCACCTCTGATCGGGACGCAAGCGTGAGTCTGTGGGGGGCAACAGAGGTTTGAGGTTAGGGGTCAGCTCATTCATTTCCATAGCAAAGTTGGAGAAGCCATAATAGAGGATGTAGTCCTTGGGCTGAGGGTCTGCAAAACAGCATGCACAGTAATAAATCATGATGATTAATGAACCCGTAAAATTCTGAAAGGTTTCTTCTTTTAAACAGCCAAAAGGAAAATGATTCAATTGGAGTTTTTTTTTCTCCACGGTGTCTAAGCAGATATTGACAAGCAAGCTCTCCCATTGGTTAACACTTCAGGAGCTGAACAGAAGTCCTAAAGTGTCAGACACCAACATAATTAGGAAGTCACAGTGGAATCAACCAATCACATTTTCATTTCCAATGTGTGGGCCAATTTAACAATAAACTGCTACAAAAACATGTATTAATATGTGTTACAAGCTTCAATTAAAACATGAAATATTTTTCACAAACTGTAAATGTCCTTGTTTAATCTAGAATGGCCAAAAAATGTTCATGTGAATTGCTGTTGACTTAGCGCTAACATACTACTAATATCCCATCGGGGTGGTAGCATTATCGCAGAGGTGTTTTCATCGTTTTTGACTCAGTTTTAAGTTTTGACATTTATGGCCCAAACTGAAGGCCAAGTTCTAGTTTTAGTTTGCTGTGTTATTTCAGATATACAAGGTTTTCTTACAACGGAACAAAATGCATCCTGTACACAACCTGTGTAGAATACAGCTTCAGAGTACTCAGGACTTGCCAGAGCCAGACTTGGAATGAATCTGCCAGCTGTGAAAAAGTTCTCTAAACTTAATCATGGTATTTTCTTATGCATATCTTTTCATCTTTTCTGATAGGCATGCTTGATCAGGAGGTACAAAGGTGGAGCCTCGTGGTTATGGCTTTGAGGTCACTTATCATGGCCCCAGAGCTCATGCCAGTTCTGATTATGAAATTAATCTATTACAATCACACAACCACTCTGTACTTACTTGGCTTCCAGATACACTGTGGGTTGGGCAGCGTATCACAGAAGATCCCTTCATGCCAAAATCCTCCAAATCGATGCACAACATTACCGCTCTGGTCAAGTACTTGACCTCGAACCTCATTTTTATTTGCATCTGAGCCCCAGTAGCGAGACTGAAGAGAGAGAGAGAGAGAGAGAGAGAGATGTGATAATTGAGTACATGGTGGATTTTCTTTCTAAAATATGAATCAACCCACAAGGTTAACAATGTATATGCAAAATATATGCTAATTACATTTACCTACCAAAATTATCAAAACTCAAATTCTCAAAGGTACTTGGGAACAAAATATCATATTTAAAAATGGCTCTCACCTTGACAAATGTGATCTTACAGATACAGACTGAGCTGTTGAGGTTGCGAATGGTGACCTCCCCATAGTGCTCTAGATAGCGCTGCTGACTGAGAACATTGTGAATGCACGTTACCACTTTATTCCACTCGTAGTGATCTCCATACCTAAGAGTACATCAAGGATTAGAGTCTTTCCTCCAGGAGTCTAAGCATCAAGACACTTTTAGTCCAGGTTTAAGGGTGGTGGATCCTCTTACCTTGATAAAGTAACATTGATCATTCCAGCTGGCATTATCTCCAAAGACTTTCCCCAGAATTTATTCTTCCACCTCTGGTCTGTATACAGTATAAAAGATCAATTCACCACAAAGTCACGTTTGCTTTAATAAAAAAAAGATAATAATAGACAAAATAAGAAAAGAAAATTCGCAGTAGAACACTGGTTCTCTGAGATGTGGGGAATGGTTTTATGGACTAATGAGTCTAAATCTGAGATCTTCAGAAGTAGCAAAAGGTTTGGGGATGTATAACAACATCCACAATTTGTGATTTGTTTTCAATTAAAAGCATCATGAATGCCGATAAATGCAAGCACATTTAAAAACATTATGCAGTATCCTCTGGAAAACTGTTGATAAGGAAGAAATTAATTCTACAGAAAGATAACGACCCCAAGCACACTGCTGAGAAGATCAAGACATACTTGTCAAACAAATAAGCTGCTGGTGTACTCAGAACAATGGACTGACCACCCTAGAGTCCAGATATGAATACATTTAGAATTACATGCATCATTAGAAAATGCAACTAAATTATGGAAAAATATCCCTGCAGATTTGTGAAAGATTCCTGCAAGTCTCCCAAATATTATATTGAATTTTTTTAAATTTTAAATTTTTTTAAATTTTAATTTTTTTTAAATTGAATTTTAAATGAAAGATTGGTCTCTGACTCTTACTCAGTAGTCTATTATTTATTGTGTAAACAATGTAAGTCGGTTACATTACCTACCCTGCCAGAAACAAAAGTTATCAGAGGAAGCATGGCAAGCAGAGATGGGTGGATGGTGGCAAACCTGTGAAGAGAATTGAAGTGAATGAGAAACAGCTCAGTAAGAGATTTCACTGCCCCAGGAACAGTTAAAATGATCACCTACTTGTTCACTGATGTAGCAGAAGCCTCTGTCCTCCCTTATACACTCAAATGTCTCCCCCAGAACTGGGTTAAAGGGCTTATAACGGTTACGGTATTGAGCTGTGGCATAGCCAGAAATAGCAAAGGCAGCAATGTAAACCTATACAGAGACAGAACATTTTGTTTAAAAACTAACATGTAAGCATCTATTTATTGCACATATTGACATATTAACACATAGGACCAGGTTTTGATCATGTATGTCAAACCATATGTCATGAATTTCCCTAAAACAATTAGTCATATAAGAGAGTTTTAAGTAATCATTACCATTCTCTGGTAAGGATCATCTGTCCGGTTTGCTATGTCCAGTAGTTCTGAGTACTCCAGCTCCTCACAAAGCCTCTGGAGCAGATTGACAGGCTCGTTCAGGGCTGCAGGCATAGACACACGTGACAGGTCCTTGCCAATGTTGTTATAAAGGATGGCCATGAGACCTACATGGCTGTTATTGGGACAGACTGCGGGCAGGGTTGTGCGGTGGCCTGTGTTCTGCAGGACTCGTTTGGACTTTGAATGTGCCTTGGAAAGGCTGGCCCGGTACTTTCGTGTTGCTGTTGCTGCAGGTTACATAAATTACAACATAACAATACATGCCTGACCAAGACACAAAATGAAAGCGTTATCATGATTCATTAAATACAATCATCACATTAAGACTAATTACTAACCATGACCCTCATCAGGCTCTGAGTTACTAGAGGCATCACTCAGACCTGACTCATCTGATGCCTCAGTGGAGCTTGCACAGATGTCATCACATGCATCAAAATACTCTGCCATTGAATCCGCTACTGAGGGTGGTCGGCCAGAGGAACGCCGTCCAGATTCAGACTGAAGAACAGGGAGAAAAATATACATGGTCAGTGAGAGTGACACTCAAACACTTTGAAAAAGGCTAGCGAAGAGTTAGTGTAGAATGTAGAAGTTCATTTAAACTGCCCAAGCAGGTGAAACCCAGCCACCTGTAAAGAGATGGAAGCACAAACAGCAACTTACAATTAGCTTGATTATAAACACACCTTTCTCTGTCTCACAGTGTGGTAGGATTCCTCAGAGGTGTCAGAGCACTCTGACCTTGCGTGGATTTGTGTTTGACGGGACTGCACATCCAACTGAACATATGCACACATATAGTCCACACGGTAAGGAATGACAAAAAAGTGTACACCTTGCATAAACAGTATGTTGTACAAATAGACTTTTGCATTTTCCCATTTTCCCATTATAATTTTTTTTAAAGCATTAATGTTATGAACCTTTTATTTTTATGTAACCCTTATATTGCTGCTGTTGGAACAAAACCCTGTATCTCCAAAATGATAACTTAACACAACACTCAAATGTAAAAGCTACGGCGGTTGATAATAAGCAAGTGGACCCACATCTAATTGTTAATTTCCATTCTATAATTTGCACACAAGCATTTACTCAAAATAGAAAAAACAATACTCTAATACTTCAAATAATTTTGGAACAATACTTATGGTCAGATGAAACAAAAATAGAATTCTTTGGCAATAATTCAGCTCATCAAGAAGGATTGTGTGTACGATCCCAAGAACACCATCCGCACAGTGAAGTATGGAGGTGGGGGGCATCATTATATGGGGCTGCAAAAAGTACTGGATCATTACACATCATTAAAGGAAACATGATGGGAGTGATGTACCAATGAGGACATTTTAATCTCATTAGTCAAGAAATCTGGGGAGAATTTGTCAAAAGATGATGTTTCAACAAGACATTGACCTTAAACGTGCAACCAAACTTACTATAACTATATATAATATTAAATAACTAAAACAAAACTGTCTGAAAATGTTATTCCTAAAGGAACTGTTGGGGCATGGCGAATTTAAAATGGAATAAAGTATCCTCCTCTGAGTCAGGATAGGAAAGCAGTGTCTTTCTTTTCTGGAATCAGAATGCTGAGAAAGTGTTTCCTCGACTATTCTTTGAAAAACATGGCAGTGCAGGTAATTACCTTTACTTAATTTACTTTCTTTGGAAAGCTTTGGACTGTGGATATCTTCTGGCAGTCTCACCTCAGTTAGGGTGGAACACAGGCTGCTGATCTGAGCGGAAGTGTTCTGGCGGAGCTCTCCACTGGTCCATGATTCTTGTAGCCGTTGGCGCTCCTGAGACAGAGCTTCAAGCACTGACCTCAGAGAAGCATGCACTGTGAGGAAAAGAGGACAAACTATTTATTACCTCCTTTAGTTTAGGGATTACCTGCACTCTTTTTATGGACAAGCATCACATCAGTCTTGGTGTGCGAAAGCCTTATAGAAACCTCTACAAGAGACATGATAAAAAATTAATCTGTAATTAAATACAGTATTGTCTCACTGAAGTGGGATACAACAGGCTTAACCATTGATAAGGTCCTTCTGGGTGATATCTTGCCATCTTTTAACATTTCCTGCACTCAGTATGTTGGTTAGTGTCCTATTGTTCCTCACCTCTTTGGGACACAGCACAGATGTCCTGGTGGAGCTTCCTGCTCTCAGAAGAGCTGTAGGCTGGAGGAGCCAGCTGGGAGTAGACATAATCAGGGATGGAGGGCGCAGAGGTGCCCAGGTGGGACGAAACACTCAAGTGGCTGGATGATAACTGGAGGAGAAAAGACAACACAGAAAAAATGGGTAAAGCATGAAGCATAGTTCTGGGGCAAGGTTGTATCTTAGATTGAATTACGTTTACCCATATTTCTTTCTTTAACTTCACAAAGAACATCATATAGAGCAATTCCAAGTGGAGAACATAGAGAAAGCCAAGCAGCAACCTGAGGCTAAACTAGCTCTCTAAAAGCATGTGCCTACTAATTGAGAAAAGGGGCCATAAACCAGTGGAGCTAATTTTGTGTTTAGGGAATTTCATTCATCCAGAAAATTTGATTGTAGGGGACAATTTAATACCTATTTCATTTCTGTAAAAATGATAAATTTTTGTCTAGGTTGAGCTGTTGGAATCAAAGTGGTGTCTTGTATTGACTCACCGATTTAGTAATCCTACGCAGTGGCTTAATGTAAAAAAGGAATTCACTACATTACTGAGAGTTCTACTTCTCTACACTCAACTGACACAGCATAAAAAAGGTTTCTACAGCAATTAACACAAAGTGGCAGACAAAGATACCTAACCAAAGAAAGAAACCAAACTTTATGAAGGGAGAAGACAGAATAAACCCATTGGGTGTGGTGTCCCATTGGGCAAATGTTAATATTAATTCAGAAAGTAAAGGCAATCAAAGAGCTGGCTCACCATTCCTAGAGCCTCAACCCGAGAAAGTGTGCGAGAGTGGCCCCAAATTCTGCCACATTTCTTCTTAGGCTTTTCAAGTGAAAGATTCTGCAGATTAAGTACACAATCAGAGACTCCTTTGTAGTCACTGTGATTTAAAAACCAAACAACAGGCCAGCAAGACTGTGTGAATACTATGAAGATTGTGCTTCCACCACTCACCTGCATGCTGATGATCCTCTGAAGTTCTCCATTGCTAAAAGCCTGGCCTGATTCAAGGCAGTGCAGTTTCTGGACTAGTCGGTTCAGATCATTCAAATCTATCTGACAGCGGTTCAGTTCTGGACAGCAACACAGAGAATACAGCAAAGTGAGCTTTACCCTCAGGTTCTAAGTTAGATAGATTTTCAGTCTGTCCAATGCAAATGAAACAAAAAACTGTGGTGAATGGGATGTCCTCTTCAGTAGAGAGCAAAATGGACAAGGTTAGCCAGATAAAGAGTGCCAGCACACCAATTTGGCAATACTTTGGATTCCAAGTAAATAAATATGGAGAAAACTGGATATCACCAACTTTACATGCCATATGCAAAAAACATCATTAGACTGAAAAAAACAAAATAAACCTATAAGATAGCAGAAACTTTAGGAGTGGCAAAATCAACAATTTGGTACATTCTTAAAAAGAAGGAATGCACTGGTGAGCTCAGAAAAGACACCAAAAGGCCTGGAAGGCTACAGAAGACAATTAAAGTGGTCATCGTAAAAATCTTTATGTGGTGAAGAAAAACCCCTTCGTGATATCTTGTCAAGTCATAGACATTTTAGAGGAGGTTGGCTTAACATTGTCAAAGTCTACAATCAAGATACACCTTCATCAACGTAAATACAAGGATTTACCTCAAAATGCAAACCATTTGTAACATTGAAGAACAAAAAGGCCAGATTAGATTTTGCTAGAAGACATCTAAAAAATCTAAAAAGCCTGCTCAGTTCTGGAATCAGATTCTTTGGACAGATGAAACCACATCATCTGTCAAACATGGTGGAGGCAGTGTTACGGCATTGGCATGTATGGCTGCCAATGAAACTGGGGTACTGGTGTTTACTGATGATGTGACTGCTTAGGTTCAGTTAAATGCTATAAACTTGATAGGACAGCACTTCACAGTACAGTTGGATAATGACCCAAAGCGTACTCCGAAAGCAACCCAAGAGCTTCTTACAGCAAAGAAACAGAATGTTTTCTATAATGGCTGAGTCAGTCACTTGACCTCAACCCAACTGAGCATGCTTTTCACTTACTAAACACAAAACTGAAGGCAGAGAGACCCACAAAAAAGCAGCAACTGAAGTGGCTGCAGTAAAAGCCTAAACAGAGAAAACAGGGTATATGTGGCATGTGGTATCCTATAGCTCAAATGAGATCACAATAACAAAGTTTATTGCTGTAATTATGTAGAAGATAACTTTATTTTTTTTAATTTACATTCTCTTCCAAGCTTAATGTACATTTTTCATATCTTATTCTTTTACTTATGTAAGTTTGAGCACAGTCGAAATTGCTTTTTCATAATTCTCAATGCTTTACACTGTTGCCTAAACAGGTGACAGATCATGTTTGCAATAAATACAGAGAGTAGGCTCATAAATAAAGGTAAGGAACATGTTTGTCACAACTGAATAACTGAACAGAAATTGGACAATCCACTCATTTAAGAAAATAATCAACACTGTAATGGTTTTAAGAAATGAAGGCCAGTTTATAGCGAGATCACTTACAACTGTCAAACTGGGCAAAGACCATCAAGTAATTTGAAGGAAATGGCACTCAAGAGCGTTAAAGTGTTAAAGTAACTAAATTAAAGTCAGAGCAAATCACAGACACTGGACGATGGTCTAATGTCAGTCTTCTGGATCTTATGGAGTCAAAAACTAAAATACTGGGTCCATCCAAGTTCTGCATATGCGTTTCCCAAATTGAAGTATGAAGAAAGTGACAGAGATGATGTTAAGCAGGTTCAAGGCATGTCATTCTGCCAGGAGTACAATCAGTTGGACACTCCTTCATTATTCAACAGGGTATTAACCTGAAATACATCTTCAAGTTCTGTCAAGTCAAGTGCTGTCTGATGAAGAAGGAAAACAAAAGACAGCTGAAACTAGTGCCCTGGCCTGTCCAGTCTCTAAACTGCAGATCCATAGTAGTATTTTCATTACAAAATGATTTACAATTACACAAACACATACAGTGTAAGACACTGTCATATTTGATTGAGTTTTCCAGCAAGTGTACATAAACATTTGTGAACTTCTACTGAGAGAAAAATACCTTGAGTGCAGCTGTCTGGGTCCTGAGCCTGCTGCAGCCAGGCAGACACTTTCCCATTGACACCAGGATTAGCAGAGGGCAGATCTGTACTCTGAGCAGCCACATCAGCCAGGTAAGAGCCAGATATGCTATGATACTGTAAAGGATCAGATTTTACGAAGACACTTCATACAATTCAAACACCGTATTAATGTTTTACAGGACTAGATATAGTGCTCAAAAGTAGTCTTGGGACACTCTCTCAATACAATTCATGCCTTGTTCATTTATTACTATACAAGCTAATGTTGTCATTTACTCATTTGTATCCATCAAGTTTCAACAACCAACAATGACAACCAAATTATTAAATAAAACTTAAAATGATCCCAGTAATTAACTGAACACTCCTTATAACTTCAATATGAATGGGTGAAGCTAAACTGCTGTAGGTTGAATAGGTGGATAACGGTAAATGTACTGATTTTATTTTTTAACAAAAAACAGTGAACTCGAAACGACAGATTTGCGGCTAAGTTTCAATATTTGAACTGAGGAGTGAACTGTATGTTTTAAAACTATAACCACATTTATAATCTCAATTAGTATGTGAGAAAATAAAAGCACTCTGACATCTTGTTCTCCCGTGACTGAGTTTACTTTGCTTTCAGCATCTACTATAACAGGGAGGAATATGAAGTGCTTTCTGAGAGGTGATGCCTCAAAGTCAGTTTTCCATAGTGCCTATTTAAGATCACAAACTAGCTTACAGGTCTTACCACTGACAAGTGAATGCAGTACTAAACTATACTTCTTTACAAGAGAGATAAAGCAGTTAATAGGTCTCAAACAGGCTTACCACATCTTGCATGGCACCATTCCTCTGAACTACGCTGCTGCCATGAGACAGAGCATGCAGGAAGCCATTGTGAACATGTGCTGCCTCGTTCTTCTTATAAATGCGATGGGCACTCAGTTTGGTCACCCAAATGTAGAACAAGTCATGGCTTTTTGTCTTGATAAGAATCAGGAAGAAAAAAAAAACAAAATCATAAAACTTTCATGATTAGAGTGGTTTACTTATAGTGCTTAGAATAGCATTGTAGCACAGATTTCATTAGCTCGAACAACTTACCTTGATGTGATAGAGGTTGTCTCCTGTATCTAAGTCTATACGTCTTGCTTTTCTGTTTACTGACATCACTGCAAGACTGACATCCATCGACCCACTTAACTTCCCCTTAGAACTCTAGAGTTGTCAGGTAAACATAAATATAATATAAAATAAGTATAAAGAATAAGGTGTGTTGAACAATAACAAATTCCATTTATAATGCAATTTTCCTAAACTCAAAGCCCTAAAAACCAATGGTTAAAACAATATAGAACAAAATATAAAATGAAATGTCAAATGTCCATGACAGTTAATCAAGAGAGTTAAACTTTATAAAATTAAAAAATAAAAAATTTATCATCAATCATTAAAGTTAATGGAAAAAACTCACTTTTCAGGAACTTTTAAAGACATGCTAAGGTAGGACTATTCTTAATAGTGTCGGGTAGATCCCTACAAGAAAATGTTCTCATGACATACCATCAACGCTAGGTGACATTGTTTTTTTTCTGACATTGTGTCATGACACTTTCTGAGGGTAATAATACATAATAATATCATAATTTTATGATAATATTACATAGCTTGCCAAGTCAGGCTGTTTGAACAGCTTTTTCTGAGGGGCCCTAGGTAAAGTGAAGTTAATTTTACCACAATTTAATACCAATTTTACCAAGATTTAAGCTTATAAATATATCATCAATATTGTGTCAGGGTTCCAGTTGTTATAATATTCTGTTCTGTCAGTGCAGTCATTACAAGCTGTAGTTGTCATGTAGTCTTATGAACACTACCCAACAATGAAGAATTACCAAAAAATAGTGTCCTACTTACATCATATTGACTTCTTGAATATCGGAGGATGCCTTTGTCCAGCACAAAGTATCTCTGGAAAAGACAGCACAGTTTTAGAAACATCAACTACAATGACTGTCTAACTAATACAAGTCAGTCATGAGATTTACTAACCTTGTGCCAGCCTTTCAGGGGCCATTTCCTCCTCTTCATCAGGTAGCCTTCACAAATGCCTGGGGGACTCATATCCTGCGTGGTCTCTCCACTAGGACCCATATCTGCCTGCAGATCATCCATTATCTCCCAGTCCTTTATGTTCTGAAGGTTAGACCATAAGAAAAGAAGCACTTGTAACTATTATAACCTAGTAGGATTTCCACAGCAGGAGGTGGAGTATGCTAAATAACATTATTGTCTAATCTAATTCACAGCTTGGTACAGCTTTGTTGATCAGTTCTGTTTATCGGACAGATAAAACCACCCTAGAGCATGTGTATGTGGTAATGAAGAGCAAAGCGCATTTGTGGAACTTGTTAAGACTTGTTTGGCTTTTGACTTTTTAATTGGAGATTTAGAAGTTGTCCAACAGGTTTATTATGCTCAATGAGACAGAACTTAAAGGCGTGTTTACTCTTCTGTTCTTACAAAATCACTGAAACATGGTGAAAAATCAGTTACATATCACACATAGTTGTCGGTAAAGATGCTGCAGGAACGCACCTGTCGTGAGTGTCGAGAGGACGCAGTGCTGCTGCTCCTGGAGTGTGTGGGTTTATGCCATCCAGCAGGTGACCTGTCCAGTCCACTCGTCTGTGACTGGCTGTGGTCTAGCATGGATCCATAGGGCTCCATGTTGAAGCTGCGCTCTTCTTCTACTTTGTTTGAACTTGGTTGAACAAGTAAATGTATGCTCTTCTAGATGTTCAGGATGATAGGACCATAGGTCTGGAAAGCATCAATGCTACATGGTTACCATGTTTTGTTAACTTTTGGTTATTCAGGCTTTGTAGATTCCACCAGAGCGACAAATAGCACATATTTTCTATAAACAGGTTCAAGAAGGAACCATACTATTAATCCATACAGAATTACTGACAAGCTGTAACCAGTAATTTAGACATAGCATCTTTTCACATTATACATATTTGGCCACAATACAACATTTGATAACATTGACAGTAAAAGTGAAAGCAAGTGCACATGCACAGAGCACAGAGCCCAAAAGAAACATATAATCTTGTTACCTAACACAAGAAAGCTTATACAGCCAGCATGGCCTGGGCAGCACCTTACCCTGCCACTCTCTTTTGCATCTCACTGGCTCTTCACCTTATGTCCTCTAGCCAAACAGCTTAGTGAGAAAGACAACAAGCAGTCGTCCTATCTAGCTGTTTTGTTGAATGTAACTGCAAGCTAAAAAATACACTCAATTTGACTAAATCCATACACTGAATGTGACATTAAACCTGAGAAATATTGTCAAGATCAAACAAGAATGAATCTCAAACAAAATAAATTCAAAGCAATCATGTGTGAGAAGTAGCTGGTCTGCATAAAATATATTTCAAACTATATGACCTCTCCTCTTTAGAGTGCTAGCATGTTCATGAATGCTCATAGAGCAGAGGGATCTAACGATATGGGAACTATGTGGGCTGATGCAGAGATATTCAATATTTTTCATGTAAAGAGTTGCCGATGCTGATAAATAAACATCTATAAAATCTGTGCAGAATCCATTTATACTAGCACATAATAAGAGGAGAAATATAACACTTAGTTTGATAAGAAGGCAAATGCTGTAAAATAAATAACATTATGGCACAATAGAATAACATTTTCTAAACATTCGGCTCTTCTGGAGCACAATGAGTACATGATCAAATATCAGTTTGAAATATCAGTCAAGTCTACTCATCTGTCCGACACTTACATTCTTAACAAAATATCTCCAATACTGATATTATTACATCATTGGGCATCCCTCTGAAAATACTTCTCAGTCTCTATAATAGTTGGACAATTAGCAGTTAAGAAATGATCTATTTGATGATATAAAAAGCTGTGTTTGTATTTGCCAAGTCAACCCATACAGAAATCTGATATATGGCAACATATGAATTTCAAACATTAGACGTGTATTAACATGTATGGATTTCCATCATATATTCAACTTATATTAGTCACATATGGACATTACTTATATGCCAACTTATTTGAAATTGGCCATTTACAAATATGGGACAGTCGTATTTGTAATTTTGATCATACCGCCATCTGTAAACATGTATGTGTAACACGTATTTAACGATAATTAATCATCTATGGATGGCATGTTTTACTTATATTACTCATAAGCTTGTTCATTTATGCTATATTTTTTATTGCATGTATGTTGCTGGTGTATTTTATTATAATATTTTGCTTTAGAACAAGTCGTTTTGTGTATGTATCAGACATATAAATGTGATGCAATATTATGCATATGTGTAAATGTACTTTTCTACATCATTTCAGCATGGCAGCTCTCCTTTATATTGTGTGAAAATTTCATGATGAATGGACCAATAGAAATGCTCCAAAACTGCTGAGAAAATCTCTTTACACTGACTTACAAAAGTTAAGACCATTTTGCCCTCTCCTGTAAAGTTACTATTTTGAGATGCTTGTTTTTCTTTGGACAGCGACGATACACATTGATAACATATATGTACATATATTTTTAAATATGTGCCTGACCTTTTGTGATATACGTGCTAAATGGCCATATAGCACATAGATTTACACATGGGAGGTCACACTCTTTTCAAAGACACTAAATACCAGTAATTGCCACAATAATAATGGCTAAGAAAAATAAAGTTATGATTTAGTTCATTGCTAAAGAAAAACTCTCATTGTGTCCTCTAGGCTTTGTCATGTAAATATGGGAGCTACAGCAAGATAACACATGGTGATATTACTATAGCATCAGCAACAGTCTCTGGGTGAGAGGATTAACGCCATCATGGTAATTGGCTTTGAGCAGTCTTTTTTTAGCAGCCTGTTGCATGGATAGGCCTAGAACATGGACTAACAAGATCACAAGCCAAAGAAAACATGATGTCTGTCTATAAGACCCAAGACTATACACACTATTCTGCACAACTACATCAAACTAATAAAGACCCATAAGGAGATGAGAATTCTACTAAACTGAATGAGTTAAATTGTGGGAGTGTTTACCTCTTGTCTAGCTAGCGTTTTTTTTTTTCTTTGTGCCAAGTTAGGGTTACATAAAGCTTGATCATTGAGGTAGGACTGACCTCAGCGGTAGAAGTACGTGGTGGAAACAAGATAACGAGATTTTACCACTAGCCAAGGCTTTGCTTAATCAACATTGAAAAATAAAGAATATTGGGCCATCACTTCAGATGATGTCAGTGCAATACATGGAAACTGAGAAAAGATGACCTGTCATTTTATTTGAAACACACAATGCCCAGTGCCACCCATTTGTGTCCACATTCCCACAGTTTTATATAATGTACTGTGCACCAGTCAGCATTTGACTGATAGCAAGAGAGTTCATCACAGGACAATTAACCTCTTGCTTGTTCCAGGCCTAACTAGGCAGCACAACAAACAGAAGCATACTTTACTACAGGTACATAAACAATTAATTGCATATCATCACTGTCCTAACAAAACCTTATGACTCTAACATGGTAATGTAAGTTAATGAGAAGTCATAACAGGATCTTATTCCAAATCTTTTTGCACCTTTTCTATTGGTCCACTCATCATGAAACATTCACACAATGACAACCTCTGTTTTCGATCAATGAAAAATAAAAGGAGTGGGTTTGATATGACAAGAATTTTCAGATTGACGCACTGTAATTTGTAGCATGTACCCATAGCACTTTGTAATAATCGTCATTTTAGTGAAATATGGAGGAAACTATCAATAGAACCCCCAAATTGGTGAAACGTCTCCAGGCTTTACTAACTATTAGCGGTTTATGGACCTCCAAATGTGTAACACTTTAAAGATGTTCCTTCAATTTTACTTCATTGTCACAGTTATTGAAATCTGTCCATGAATGGAACAAGCTTAAGTCTAAAAGCTTTAATCTGACAGAAACAAAACACTCCTAACTATAGACACTAATTAAATGTCATGCTTTCTGGTATGGTACATGTTTTCTGAGCTTTCTTCATACTTATATCACTGCATTTGGGTGCATTAAAAAATAGTCAACAAACATTATAATCTGTGTATAAGAACTTGTCTAAAGGCAATGTTCAGAAAAAGACATTAACCTTAGAGTTTTAATGTTGACAAGAACTGATAAGGTTTAGATTTCATAGATAAACATTTCTACAAATCCCATTGAGAATCACTTCAAGTACACGCTGTATTCATCAAGCACATTTATGTTGCGTGTCCATTAATCTTACCTGAGATTCCCATCTCCAACTGCCTTCTGAGACATTTCACAACTCAAATTTCCATGCAAGCGATCACTATGCTTCCCCATTTTTGAAAAAGAATCTCCAATCAACAGCTTCCAAAGAAAACAAAATTATTGTGAGCTCCTACACAAGCGTCCTCTACGAGCAAGAGCAAGTGGAATTAGCATCCTCTGAACCTGAAGTTCTCACCACAGTTCAGATCATTATCCGCATTAGTGACTAAGGAGCTATAGGAATTAGAGGTGCAGGCGGGATGGCTCTGAAGAGACTGATATGTACTGAAGGAAAGACAAATGCAGCTATTCAGCTATTCTGCTTCTGACCTCACTCTTTAAATGCACTTTAATAACTCAATTTTTAATCACTGGTCTTAAGAGCAACATCTGCCCTGGAGTTCTGTTTGAGATCAAAATCATTAACTTGTAATTCTAAGTGTAATAATTACACACAATTCTGTCTAAATAATAAATGAGCTCAAAGCTACAATTACACATGAGCTACCATGCTAGACTAAGAAACCCATCTTATCTTGAACAAATCCACAGATTGACATAATCCACATCCATGATACAACTAGTACTTACCTCTATGGAAGCAACATGTCACCCTCAACTTCTCTTCCAAACAATCTGCATATTTCTTTGAACTGAACACTAAACAAAGTAGAAAGACATATGACTTTATTTGATGTTTGGTATTCACATTACATCAAGTTGCTGATGTATATGTGGTCAGTAAAATATACAGAAAAATGAGGGCTGGGTGAATTTTTCTAGGGCCATAAATTGAACCTGACAATTACAGCAATATCAAACATAATATTTCACTGATCAGTCCATAAATACAGGACATAAGCAATGTCAACAAAGTATCAATGTCCTTATCAGAGTCCAAACACTGGAATTCAGGCTTATGGACATGAAACTCCCTCAGCTTCACAGATGGCCAACTCCTGTCCATCACAAAGGAAAGCAGTGACAAGAATAAGTTCAGACGGCTGCCTGTTCTGTCTTAGGGGAGCTCTGCACAGTAGACT